CCATATGAAGTTAAAGATGATAGCTGATGTATTTTTCTTTTCTTTTCTTTTTTGGTTTTTTGAGACAGGGTTTCTCTGTGTAGCTTTGTGCTTTTCCTGCAACTCACTTGGTAGCCCAGCCTGGCCTCGAACTCACAGAGATCTGCCTGGCTCTGCCTCCCCAGTGCTGGGGTTAAAGGTGTGCGCCACCACCTCACGGTGTGCTTTCTTATAAAACCTAGAATCACTATCCCAGGGATAGCACCACCCACCAAGGGCTGGGTTCTCCCCCTCTGATCACTAATTGAGAAAATACCTTACAGCTGGATCTCATGGAGGAATTTTCTTAACTGAGGCTCCTTTCTCTCTGATGACTCTAGCTTGTGTCAAGTTGGCACACAAAATCAGCCAGTACAACTGACCCCTGTCAATTTGATACACACACACATCACTATTAAGCCACAACCCTTCCTTTCTTATTCATCCCACAAGATCTTAGATAACCTTAGAAGTACCACAGTCTTATACAAATTCAAAGACATTCAAATTTCAGTCCCTTTAAAATAGCCAATCTCTTTAAAAATCCAACGACTTTTAAAATTCAAGTCTCTCAGCTATAGGCTTCAGTAAAAAAAACTATCTTACTTCAAGAGGGAAAAATCAGGGCACAGTCACAATTAAATCAAAGCAAAACAAAATTTCATCATTCAGTGTGTGGGAATCACTCATGATCTTCTGGATCCCTCCAAAGAACTTGGGTTCTCTGTGCTCCCAGGAAACACTTCCCAGAAGATTTCACCTCAATGATGGTGGTCTCTTCTTAATCACTGCTAATTTCTTAGCTCTAGCTGACCAGTATCATGTATTCAGCAAAGCAAAATTTTGCTTTAATAGTTCTTGTATCTTGTTAATCACTGGTTAGCTGATTCTTCAGCCCCAGCTAATCAGAACCACCCGATCTCAATTCAAAATAACAAACGGCCCTAACAGGGCCGTTTCTGTATTACTCTCAACATTCTTATCTTACAAGCTCCCACAGAATATCACACAGAGCTGTTAACACTCAATGGTTCTTCTAGCCCAAAGTCCTTAGACAATCCTCCCCAAAACAAGGTTAGGTCTGTCACAGCAATATCTCACTATACTGGTACCAATTTCTGTCTTAGTTAGGGTTTCTATTGCTGTGAAGAGACATCATGACTACACCAACTCTAATAAAGGAAAACATTTAATTGGGGTGGCTCACTTACAGTTCAGAGCTTCAGTCCCTTATTATCATGGTGGGACATGGCAACATGCAGGCAGATATGGTGCTGGAGAAGTAACTCAGAGTCCTATATCTTGTAGGCAACAGGAAGTGATCTGAGACATTTGGTGTGGCTTGAGCATATATGAGACCTCAAAGCCCAGTTCCACAGTGACACAGTTCCTCCAACAAGGCCACACCCACTCCAACAAAGCCATACCTCCTAATAGTGTCACTCCCTTTGGGATCCATTTTCTTTCAACAGACCACATTCTACTCTCTGGCTCCCAAAGGCTTGCAGCCATATCATAATACTGAAATGCATTCAGTCCAACTTCAAAGGTCTCCATAGGCTGTCACAGCTCATCAATTTTTAAAAATCCAAACTTCAAAGTCTCTTCTAAGATTCATGCACTCTTTTAACTGTAATCCCCTACAAAATCAAAATAAAAAAGCAGATCACATACTTCCAACATATAATGGCACAGGGTAATATATTACCATT